ACGATGACATACTACATAAGAGCGAAACTCGAGTTCGCTGTGTCTCTCCTACGTCATCATCATCATCATCATTGTCAGTTGTAATAACCGCGTACTCGTTGTACAGTGGTTGTAGCCGCCGCAGTTTCGTTCACCGATGATTTGTGCGTGGGGGGGGCAGGTAGCTGCGCACTGGAGGCGGGAGCTGATAAATTGATGCATGAATCCAGCACTGTCAGTGGGCTGTCAAGTGGGGTGGGGTTGGAAAAGGAGCTATGCATTGAAGGCAATAGCTTGGATGCACAAGCGCCATTGAGGGTGCGACTGGGCAATATCTGACAATGTCTCTAGCCATTGATGTGGCCCGTCTCGGGGTCCCCATCCAGGAAGACGGCAGTAACCAGCGCAGCTGAGTGTGGTTGATGAAAGCTAGGCTTCTGAATTTTGGGATCTTCACGAAGCAATACATGATGCGGCGCTATATCGTTTGTACATAAAGTCAGTAGGTATACGGGTAAAGTTGTCGCAGGTTGTCTTTTGACGGACAGATATGTCTCAGAGTGTAGTAGACGTTTGAGATCTATGCATAGATTTAATTAAGGAAATCTGTGCCTAATATTGGTTGTTGGATATTGGCAACGAGGAAGGTCCACTGAAATTCTATGCCAAGGCCGAGGTTGGGTTTCTATGAGTGTTGTCCACGTGTTTCAATTGTTGATCCGCTTGCCGCTCTCAGGGTAAGTGGTAAGGTTGAAATGTGATTATTCGAGGGTATACCTGGAATGATGACAATAGCTGCGCCAGTGCCGATGAGAAATCGAAGACCTGACTTCTTATCCAACCTGAGGAGACGGCGAGTGATATGATAGTGGCCTTGGACGATACTCGTCTCTGCTGTCCGGCCCACCCGTTTCCCACCTGTGAGGTCGATGGACTTATGGGAGAACGAAACGACCAGAGTGGTGTGCATTTGCGTGCAGAACGACCAAATGTTTCGTGGTACCAGGAATAATTGAACAGGCTTTGGGAATGCAATGACGGTGGTCATCTATTTGACAAGGCTTCCGCTTCGCTCTGGTGTTCAAAGATGAGGGCGATGTCATATGTGTACTCCAGATCGACAAGACTTGTCACAACAGGCGTCAAACTGACGCCTCTGTGGTTGCTACATTCACCGGGAGTATCCCTTTTGAAAATAGGCACTACTATCGATTCATGCCAGTTGTTTGGGACGGCCTCTTTCTCCCATATAGACCCTAATAGGCTAGGCAGGCACTGGCTGAGGTGCCCATCACCATCCTTGGAAAGGGCAGGTGGAAGGTTTTCGAGACCAGCAGCACGATGACGCTTGGGTAGAGAAATACATTCGGACACTTCTGAGACTGAAGGCGCCTCCATATTTACGGTCAACCCTTCTGTTGAAGGCCAGGATTCTGGCAGGCGGTGATCGACCCTCGCCACTGATAACTGATGGCGATGCAGTCTATTTGGGTTCGTGGCTGGTTTGTCGGTGGGCACCTCGTTGTCAAGCGACTCCCGCTATCCCGGAAATTCGTACTGCAAAGGAACAATCTGTGATCGGTTCATCCCCGTTTTCCTGCGTTTCGTGTCCAATCCAAGAGGATCACCCACTCGGGCCTCTGCAGCTCTTAATCTACCTACTTAGGCGTTCATGTCATCAGCAACCACAACGGTATCTGAGCTTTTAGCCTTTTTCTTATGGGCACCTAGAGTGTCCTAGAAACTGTCCTTGGCAGGTTCAGAGTATCAGGAAGGTCAGATTCCTGAAAGTAACCCCAGAACGCCCGGAACCTAGTGAGACCCTGAAACTCCACGGAAATTTCGATAGGATGGCCAGCAAGCATCCAGGCCGGTCAATCATTCAACCAATCCAGCAAAAGCCGGTGAGTGTTCAGGCACGTCACAGAAGCGTAACTGAATGTGATCAGTATCTGGGTATTTCACGATTACTATTGATGGGCGTTTACGAAATGCCTATCAGACAGCCTGGATGAATGTCAGAAAGTGTCCTTTAAATAGCTCGGGGCCGTTGTAACCTTTGCATTAGCTTGTTCGGAGTATAGCGGTTGTGTTCCCTTCTGTGAGTCTCTTTTCCGGCGCTGGGCAGGGGAGCGGCGTCAGCAGCAGGTACAACAGATTGGCGAATCAGCAGTTATAACACAGAGCTACGGTTAGTTGGGGCGTAAGCAGACACAATAAACAGGGTGCGATGGAGCTCAGTCCCCCTAGATTCTCAGATATTTCCAAACGAACCACTCATAGGTGACTGTCAATGTGTACACAATCAAGCAGAGTCGCTTGCGCTCGGTCGCTCAATACAATACCCACCCCAGTATGTCCAGCTGCAGAGGCCTCTGCATCACTAGAGGCGTGCACCCGGAACCTGGAGGATAGCTAGAGGGCAGTCAATTCGATCACAATACTTGCGTCCTGCATCCTTGTTTCTGACAAACAACAGACATCAACGCAGAGAGCATCCAGCCTACGAGCAAGAGCTACCTCTTGACCTGCTTGATTCATTGTACGAACATTAAAAGTGGCTAAGTAGACAGGTTTTCGGGAGAGAGGAGAACCATTAGGGTCCTCCACCAAAGTTTTTGGCTCAAAAGCCTAACTGCGATGCAGCCGTGTCGGGCCGGAAATGCGAGTTCATTACCATTTTTACGGAACACGTCGCCACACATGTTCCAACCTCCAACCTGGAAGGCCAGGAGACTGTGTCCCGTGGATGCCCCCTCAGTGTGTCTCAAGGGTCGCCGAGGTACACAAACCACACCACGGTGAGGTCCAGTCTCTTCGTGACGGTGTAATCACTTTGTGGGTGATTAACATCCCACAGGGTATCAAGGTATATTTCGCTATTTGCACAAGCTTTGATGTTCAAATAGAACATAAGGTTGATGTAAACTCAGGACTATACCCACTTAATAAACCCAAAGAGGGTAAGCTTTTGGCATCTTTATAGTTGATCTAGTGTTATGCCCTTCCCGTTAACTGCATTTACGAATTCGTGTACCTAACGGAGTCGCAATCTTTCCGTGGATAAGCGGGGTCTGGTGCGCCCCCGGAAACCATTCCACTGCATGTTTTTACCGGATTTGGGACGAGATCGCCCAGGTACTTAGAGCGCGAATTTACTGACCGGAAGGTCCCTGGTTCGAACCCGACCTCTGGCTCTCGACTTCCCCTGTCTTGGCTTGGGCAACCTGACAGTATCCCGGCCCTCGTGCTTTCTTCGTGTGGCATGGCAGTTAGACACCGAAAGGGTGCCACAGCTGAACGATTTTTTCACCAGGTTAGGATTCAGTGATTTGGGGAGGAGGACCAGCCAGATCACTGCTTTTATTTAGCAGTTTTTCATTGTTGACCGCAGCATGATAGGAACACTAGTCACTTTTTTCTTGTCCAATTCGCACCGAATGATGGCGCATTCAATGTGTGTTTTCACATCTGGATCTGAAACAAGACTGGCGTATCACAGTATTTTATATGCCGTGTAGGAATCGGGTACACTTCATCAGAACAAAGGACAGTGAACCTCTCGTTGAACTATCATTTCTGTTTTTCACTTCAGGGACTTCGACGGTCCGGAACTGTGATTGGTGTTCCACATGGATCTTGATACACTGAGGCTATTGGCAAGCGCGATCGCCCAGAATCCGGATGCAGAAGCAGAGGATGAGTACCTCATTAAACAGTTCAATGGTTTCTTACGATTCCTCCTGAACGAGAACCGGACCAGCTCGCCAGGTATTTCAC